TTCATGTGGGAACCAATGACACTGCAAGCAATAGCCTCCAGAAGATCAAAAGAGATTACGAGGCTCTGGGCAGGAAATTGAAGCAATTAAATGCACAAATTGTCATCTCATCTGTCCTCCCAGTTGAACGACGTGGCCCAGGGAGAGAGGGGAAAATAGTGGAAGTGAACAACTGGCTTCGCAAATGGTGCAAACAGGAACGGTTTGGATTCTTAGATCACGGAATGCAGTTTCTTGAAGATGGACTTCTGGCAAGTGATGGGCTGCACCTCACAACGGTTGGGAGGAATGTTTTTGCAAAAAATCTCAGAAACCTCATCAGGAGGGCTTTAAACTGACTAATGTGGGGGAGGGAGACAGTGCTCCTGAAGGTAGGAGTCTATCAATTGATGAAGATGATCATCCAAATGTCATAGACCGAATGGAGCAAAGAGCATGCAGACCTAGTGGTGGGAGGAGAAAATCCTTAAATAAGAGACACGGGGGAATGATTAATGGACTTCAATGTCTGTACACTAATGCGCAAAGCATGGGAAATAAACAAGATGAGCTTGAGCTCCTGGTACAGCAAACTAAATATGACATAATAGGAATCACTGAAACCTGGTGGGATAAATCCCACGATTGGAATGTAATAATGGAGGGATACAATCTATTTCAAAGAAACAGACCGACAAGAAAGGAGGAGGAGTGGCGTTATATGCCAGGGATGTGTATACCTGTGAAGAGATCCAAGATTTAGAACCTCAAAGCCAAAGTGAGAGCATTTGGGTCAAAATTAAGGGAGAGAAGAATAACAGTGACCTCATTGTGGGAGTTTACTATAGATCCCCAAGCCAAACGGAGGACATAGATGATGCCTTCCTGGAACAGATGGCCAAGCATGCAAAAGGAAGGGAGATAGTAGTAATGGGGGACTTCAATTACCCGGATATTTGTTGGATGTCAAACTCAGCCAAGAGCATAAGGTCAAACAGATTCCTCACTGCCCTTGCAGACAACTTCATTGTCCAGAAAGTGGGAGAAGCAACAAGAGGAACAGCCATTTTAGATCTGGTCCTAACCAATGTTGATGACCTGGTTAGTGGGGTAGAAGTGGAAGGATCATTAGGCGCGAGTGATCATGCTCTTCTGAAGTTTACTATACAGCAGAAAGGAGCAGCCAAGCATACTAGGACTCAATTTCTTGACTTTAAGAAAGCCGACTTCATAAAACTTAGGGAAGTGCTGGGTGAGATCCCATGGACAGTAATACTAAAAGGAAAGGGAGTTCATGATGGCTGGGAGTTTGTTAAGAGGGAGATAGTAAAAGCACAACTTCAGGCAATACCAATGAGACGGAAACATGGAAGGTGCCTAAAGAAGCCAGGGTGGCTATCTAAAGAACTTTTAACTGAGTTAAGATTAAAAAGGATGTGTACAAAAAATGGAAAAGGGGGGAAACCACCAAAGAGGAATTCAAACAAATAGCCAGCACGTGTAGACACAAAGTCAGAAAAGCTAAAGCACAGAATGAACTCAGGCTTGCTAGAGAGGTTAAAAGCAACAAAAAAGGCTTTTATGGGTATGTTCGTAGCAAAAGGAAGAACAAAGAAACCATATGTCAGGAGTGCTCTGATGGTGTTTCCTGCTTGGCAGGGGGTTGGACTCGATGGCCCTTGTGGTCTCTTCCAACTCTATGATTCTATGATTCTATGATTCTATGAACTTCACGACTTGCCCCTGCCACTCTCTCTCTTCTTGTTGTTGTTCATCTTTAAACCAAACTTGGACCAGACAGTCTTCCAAACAGAGGACTCCTTCAAACAGAGGGCTTCAAATAAGAGCTACATATGCTACTTCTATCGGGACGCGGGTGGCGCTGTGGGTAAAAGCCTCAGCGCCTAGGGCTTGCTGATCGAAAGGTCGGCGGTTCGAATCCCCGTGGCGGGGTGCGCTCCCACTGCTCGGTCCCAGCGCCTGCCAACCTAGCAGTTCAAAAGCACCCCCGGGTGCAAGTAGATAAATAGGGACCGCTTACTGGCGGGAAGGTAAACGGCGTTTCCGTGTGCATCTCTGGCTCGCCAGAGCAGCTTCGTCATGCTGGCCACGTGACCCGGAAGTGTCTCCGGACAGCGCTGGCCCCCGGCTTCTTGAGTGAGATGGGCGCACAACCCCAGAGTCTGTCAAGACTGGCCCGTACGGGCAGGGGTACCTTTACCTTTTTATGCTACTTCTACCTTTGCAACAGAACTGCACTGCGGACATATGGCCACATTCATACCACATATTTAAAGCATTATGATCCCACAGTCATGGTTTCCACCCAAAAAAAAAATCCTGAGGCTTCAGTTTGTTAACCTTGCATTGCAAGGTTACTAGAAGACTCCCTCTTCCCCTCCCAGAGCTACAATTCTCAGAATTAACAGTCAATCCCTCTTCAAAGAAAACTCTGGGAATTGGAGATCTGGAATAGGTGTCAGCACTTGTAACAAACTACAGCTCCCAGAATTATCTGGGGGAAAGCCCAAACTGTTTGAAGTAGTATAAGGTGCTTTAAATGTATAGTGTGAATGTAGCCATAATAAACGTGAGTGCTTTCCCCCCCCCAGCTTACGTACAAAGACGGAGCCACCACAATGTTCAACTATGAGCATGAGCAAAGAATAATAATAATAATAATTTATTATTTATACCCCGCCCATCTGGCTGAGTTTCCCCTTGGTGGCTTCCAATCAAGTGTGAAAAACAACACAGCATTAAATATTAAAAACTTCCCTAAACAGGGCTGCCTTCAGATGTCTTTTAAAGAGAAAATAGCTGCTTATTTCCTTCACATTGGAAGGGAGGGCGTTCCACAGGGCGGGCGCCACTACTGAGAAGGCCCTCTGCCTGGTTCCTGTAACCTCACTTCTCGCAATGAGGGAACTGCCAGAAGGCCCTCAGTGCTGGATCTCAGTGTCCGGGCTGAACGATGGGGGTGGAGATGCTCCTTCATGTATACAGGACCGAGCCGTTTAGGGCTTTAAAGGTCAGCACCAACACTTTTAATTGTGCTCAGAAACGTACTGGGAACCAATGCAGACCGGTGTTATGTGGTCCCGGCAGCCACTCCCAGTCACCAGTCTAGCTGCCGCATTCTGGATTAATTGCAGTTTCTGGGTCACCTTCAAAAGTAGCCCCACAGAGAGCGCATTGCAGTAGTCCAAGTGGGAGATTAGAAGCTGAAAACATGTCCCTGAAGTCGCTGAGAAGGTCTGGTGTACTTATATTCCAAAGCAGGCAATTCCACAGCCCTGCTATGTCACAACAGAATTTGGGGTGGCCAAAAATGGACAATATAGCACCTTCCCACCTTTGTAAGTACATAATTGGATTGGACTGGCATGTCCAATTGGACATATGATGAGACACTAATGGCCACATCACCTGAGGACAGCAGGCTAGCTCAGGGCAGCTTTTTCCAATATTGGGTCCCTAACCATTAGCCATGCTGGCTAGGCATAATGGGAGTAGCATCTGGAGATCCAAGAATGGGGAAAGCTGGCTGGATGCCACTGCCTCCCCCAGTATCTGTCACTTGAGGCAGCTGCCTCACTCTTCCTCAAAAACAAGTCCACCACCATGGACATTATTTTTCCAACTTATGTACAAAATAAGAAAATGTTTTGCATCAAATGAGAAGCAACAAAATATTGTTGCCCTTTGAGCCCCCTGACTCAGATCAGGAGCAAGAAGCTCTTGAGGACAAGGACTCCGAGTGGAAGGGGTGGGGGATGAGAATATGCTGCAGAGAACATTAAGAACATGAGAAGAGTTTGGCTGGATCAGGTCAACGGACATCGAGTCCAGCATCCTGTCCTCACAGAAAAGCACTCTTGCCTCCTGTGGTTTCCAGCAACTTGTATTCAGAACCATCACGGCCTCTGCCCATGGAAGCAGAGCCGAGCCATCATGAATAGTAGCCATTGATAACTGTGATTAATCTAAAATGGAAATGGAAGCTTCTGATAATGGCTGCAGAAGAAGAAGAAGAAGAAGAGTTTGGATTTGATATCCCACCTTTCCCTCCCTTTAAGGAGTCTCAAAGCGGCTAACAATCTCCTTTCCCTTCCTCCCCCACAACAAACACTCTGTGAGGTGAGTGGGGCTGAGAGACTTCAAAGAAGTGTGACTGGCCCAAGGTCACCTAGCAGCTGCATGTGGAGGAGCGGGGAATCGAACCCGGTTCACCAGATTACGAGTCCACCGCTCTTAACCACTACACCACACTGGCTCTGGAGGAGGGAGAGAGGGTACCAGCCCAAGGGTCACTGTGGTTCATCATAGCACTAAATCATGGTCTAGCACAGGATTGGGGAACATTTTTCGGTACAGCAGGCCAGATCGCTGTCTGTTACTACTTCAGTGGGTCAACTTTGACAAGTGGGTGGGACAACCTACTTGTTCATCATTATGATGTCGGTTGCCCCAACCACCTGTCAAAGTCCCACAGACGGTTTGGGGGCAAGAGCAGACATTCAAGGCTGGAGGGGCTGTAGCCTTCATACTCTGCTTGTGGGGTTTCTAGAGGCCCCTGACTTGATCATTGGTGATGGAAAGAGATTACTTGACTCCATGGGCCTTTGGTCTGATGCAGCAGGCATTTCCCATTATCTCAAACCAGGGAGAAGTAGTAGCTTCTGACAATCACAATTGCACCCTGGTTGATCCTTTACAAGGATTTGTGGACACAAAGGGCAGAGGGATACAACATCCCTGATGCAATGTGAAGTAACCAGGGTCACTTTTGCTTCCTTTGCTGCTGCCTTCACACCTTCTGTGGTCCCTCAGAAAAGCCCTTGTTTAGACATAGGTTTCCCACAATCCTCCTCCTCTAACCCTCTTCCAGCCTCCAAGACTGTGACTCTCTCCCCACCCCAGTCATTGATGACACCTGGTTTCTGACATCACAAATAAATTATGTCACAGCACTTAAGCTTTCACATCATTCATGGCTCCCCAAGCCCTGAAAGGGGCAGTAGCATCTCAGAGCCAGAGAAAGCAGCCACCTATTTCTCATATATCTTGCCTGTCTGCTACAAACCCTGTTGTTGAAGCTCTTAGAAAACCACCTGAGTGAATATGAAAGCCTTGGAGAAGAAGAAACAATGTCCAAAGGTACCCTCATCTTCTTAAGAAGCCAGGAGTTGGCATCATTTACTCAAGGCTCAAAGTGAGGGGTGAAGTGGGGGCGACAGAAATGCTGAAAATTGGCCTGTGGGTTTAAAAAAAACCCCAGAAAGTAGTGGAATTTTCTGGTACCTTACAAAAAATGTTATGAGAATCTATCCTTCCCTGGCAGGCAGCCTTTCATACTGATCCAAGTGCTACATATTTGTAAGCAGCTATAGATCCCACAGAGGATAAAGCAGCAGTGAGTTCAAAAGCTTCTAAAGCTGTGGCTTTTATTAAGAACATCAAAAGAGCCTGGCTGGATCAAACCATAGACCTATCTATCCCAGGCCTCTTGTTCCCTACAGTGGCTATCCAGATGCCTGTTTACTTATTCATTTACTTAAGCATTCGTATGCTACTCTTGAGCCACAGAGGCTCCTGCAGTGGCTTACATGCTAATTGATAAAAACAAGACACCCCCTGCCTGCAGTGTTATGTATATAAATTAAATTTTGATGATATGCAAAGTAACAGCGTAGCTTACAGCTAGGAAGCTAAATAACTCTTCTAGGTGAGCGATAGCCTTTCCGTAAAGACTATACAATGTCCAGACTATTTATATTCAAAAAAGCTTTATTTTCATAAACATATAACTAACTGAGATGAATATATTTACGATCTCACGCTTATTCAAACATGGGTACGTTCTCGCTTGAATTGTAGTCTTCTTCCTTAGACCTATAAACAAAACTGCATTGAAACTTGCACCTCACTCAGGCCTTACAGTTTCTTATGAAAGGTTTTGCTTTCACCTCAGCAGTATCTTCTTTGTTCCTTACAGAGAGCTCCTGCGCAGATTTAGAGTTCCATGTCGGAGAGGGGCTAACTCACATGACACACACCCCGCCAATGATCTCATATCCTCCAACATTTCTCAGATGAAAATAGGGACGTCTCATTCCATAATGATAATGTTACTATTTATACCCCACACATTTTAATGGGTTGTCCCATCCACTTTGGGCAGCTTTCAGCATATATAAAAACATAATAAAACATTAAACATTAAAAAAAACACCCCTACCCTATAAAGGATTGCCTTCAGACAGCTTGAGGGTTGGATAACTCCATACCCTCCAACATTTCTCCAATGAAAATAGGGACGTCCTAAGGAAAAGTGGGACATTCTGGGATCAAATCAGAAACCAGGATGGCTTCTCTAAATCAGCGATGTCCTTAGAATATAGGGGCACTTGGGGGATCTGTAATCTGAATCACATGATGGAGACTCATGCGTAGTTCTAAGGCACTCAGCAGGCCCATGTATATAATCTTGACCTTTGGCCAACTTTGTTTTCTCACATGTATTTTTATTTGCAGTCTCTCTATCCCTAAATAATAATGGCTCTAGACATGATTTAACAGTTATATAAATAGGCTGCTCCTTCTGAGCGACTCATGCGTTCTGTGTAATATTTGCTTCTTGCTCTTTATAACCAAGTTATAAAAACACTGCAATTCAAAGGGTAGGCTCTGTTAGTGGCTTTGACGTGGCTGACTCAGCAGTCCAATTCATGCAGTCTCCTCCACAAGTTCCCCACTTCAGGCATTTCACAAGGATGGCAGTGAGTACACAGCAGAGGGCATGGGGCCAGTTTTTGTGGTACCCCTCTCCCCCCCCATAAAATCCCACAATAGTAGGGTGCAAGCAGAGGCCTGTTACACACTGTCTAGCTTATTCACCCACCACAGTAGTTGATATCACATTATAGCATTATTTTTAAAACTGCAACCCGGCCCAATTTTAGATCAATTGGACTTTATCCTAAGGGTATAGTTCAATGGCCACTTGCATTTAATTCCTCTTGATGCAGCAGACAAAGTGCCACAAATGAAGTGCGTTGAGGACAAGACGTCTTTTGTTGTCCCCATAACTTTGCTCTGTCTTTCTCAGATCATTGATGTGGAGAGTGGAGCATCTCAGACAAGCAATTTGGTACACGTAAGGAGCCACCTAAGGAGGGTAAGATGCCATTCTGTTTGCCTGTTGCAAGGTTTAAAGCCTAAAGTTAGCTAGCATCATTTGGGGAGATGCAACTTCCTTGTCAAAAGCCCCAACCATGTTTACCAGTTTAAAGACTGGTGCAATATTTTTTTGTCAGGGATGGAATGCTAACCCAAGAAGAAAGTAGCACACACCCAACCCCAACACAGAGATGATCTGAGGCAACCAACATATTATATCAACATGTAGCTCCACAGTGGACCCAGCCTTAAGGAACTAGGCCAAAAGCAAACATAAAATTAAATCTAAAAACCTTAGGCATTTTGGAGCCTGCTGGAATAATTGCATGTGTGTACAATATCGTATCGAAACAAAATTTTAAAAATGAATTTTTATTTTAAAAAATATTTCTGTCTTTTTCCTGTTGACCTCGCAAAAGTAAACAGTTAACTACAATAGTCTCAAGATAATACTAAGAATGAAGCAGGCTGGGCTCACTGTTTGGCAACCTCTTCAGATGTTGTGTGCTCTCTGTATTTTCTGTACCTGCACAGATAATAAAGAAACTGGTTCTCCTCAAAATGCTCAAGAGTCCAAACCGCAGAATCGAGTGGCTTTGTGAATTAGCGCACAAGTACAGGAAGATGTTAGCGATTGGGAGTGCTCTGGATTCAGGTGCTTCCTGCTCTGGGTAAGTGACCATAGATAGGGATCTGTGTGCATACGTGTGTTTATTTTGCTAGAATATAACAAACAGGGCCCTCTGAAAGTGTGTGTGTGACTATATGATCATAGAATCATAGAACTGGAAGGGATCTGTTATGGCTTGGTCTCTCCCACAAACGTGAGATGACTCTGCCTGTTAATTATTTCAGATATATTGCTGAAACAACAAACTAGGATGGAGCTCCTCTACTCATCGTCCTCCCCAGAAGATGGAGTTGCCGGGACTGAGCTCCTCCCCCTTCCCCAGCACGAAAGCCCCCACCTTCTCTTCCGGTATCTTTAGAGCTTCTTTAGAGCTCTTTAGATTCTTTATGTTAAGTTGTGGGTGAACATATCAGATGACACAGCGATTCTTCAAAACAGCTCTTGTTTATTCACTGGCCAGAACAGAACTGAACTGAAGGGTTCAGCCAGCCTGCTTATATAGAGCTCCCCTACAACGCTACAGTAGCAACTTTCTGTAACTAGCCAATCACTGAACGTCACTTTCAATCCCCTATTTGCATATGTGGACCTGAGTGGAAACTATCTACAGTATCCCCCTGCTGGCCCAGGGTGAGAATTTCAGTACATAACACTTTAGATCTTTGGAGCACTTTTGAGATCCTACGCCTCCCCTTTGTTCAGAGCTCAGATTACAGCTGCTCTCCCCCTCCTTTCTGCCTTCTGATTTTAACTGTTCTCTCTCTGTGCCTGCTTCTTCTTCTCCTGTCAGCATCTGAGCTTCGCTGACAGGATCCCAAGGGTCATCCAGTCCAATCCCCTGCAATGCAAGAATCTCACCTAAAGCATCCATGACCGATGACCATCAAACCTCTGCTTAAAAACCTCCAAGGAAGGAGAATCCATCACCTCCCAAAGGAGTTTATTCCACTGTCAAACAGCTCTTACGGTCAGAAAGTTTTTTCTGATGTTGAGCTGGAATCTCTTTTCTTCTAACTTGAATCCATTGGCTCTGGAGCAGGAGAAAACAAGGTTGCTCCATCTTCCATGTGACAGCCATTTTTTATATTGGAAGGTGGCTATGATATCTCCTTTCAGTTTCCTCTTTTCCAGCTCCTTCAGCCATTTCTCATAAGGCTTGGTTTGCAGACCCTTGATAATCTTGGTTGCCCTTCTCTGCACACATTCCAGCTTGTCAACATCCATCTTAAATTGTGGTCCCCCAGTTGGACAAAGTATTCAAGGTGTGGTCTGACCAAGGCAGAACAGAGCGGTACTATTACTTCCCTCACAAGGAGAAGGGGACGACAGAGGATGAGATGGTTGGACAGTGTTGTCAAAGCTACCAGCATGAGTTTGACCAAACTCTGGGAGGCAGTGGAAGACAGGAGTGCCTGGCGTGCTCTGGTCCATGGGGTCACGAAGAGTCGGACACGACTAAACAACTAAACAACAACAACATTACTTCCCTTGATCTGGACACTATACTTCTGTTGATGCAGCCTAGAATAACATTAGCTTTTTTTGCTGCTGCATCACACTGTTGACTCACATTAGGCTTGTGAACTACTAAGACCCCTAGATCATTTTCACATGTACTACAAGCAAGCCAGGTGTCCCCCATCTTAAATTTGTGCAGCTAGTTATTCCTGCCTAAGTGCAGAACCTTACATTTGTCTCTGTTGAAATTCATGTTGTTAGTTTTGGCCCCCTTCTCCAATCTGTCAAGGTAATCTTCTGCGGCATTAGCTACCCCTCTCAGTTTGGTGTCATCTGTAAATTTGATGATCATCCCCTTGATTTACCTGGTATTGAGATATGGGGATAATTCAATGTTGGGGAAAATTGGGTTCCAAATTCCTCTCAGGGTCACAGATTATTTGTTTTGATGTTTTTGGTTAGTTGGATCAACTGCCACTTTCTACAGCTCCCCTCTTCCTTGCCCACTACTTCCCAAGGGCTTTCATTTATTTTTTATTTCCAGTGTGCCCTGAAAGGAAAAACTCTTCTTTTCTTTTCATCCCTCAGGTTTGTACAAAACTAGAAAACTGCACAAGCAAATTTACCATTGCCTATCTGAACGCATTTCCACTCTTCTTGCGCAGGGAATTTTTTAAAAAACCAAACCAAACAGAACAAGGTGCACATGGGCCTGTGAGTATTTCACTGGCATGACAGAATCAACAAACTATAAGGCAGGGACAAACACAAAAGGGAATGCCTCCTGGTATGAATGGGAAAGGCCAAAATTGCTCCTCATGTACAAATTTAAAATAGTTTAAATATTAAACTATTCATTTAATTCTAAAGGGAGGGGGAGTGGATGAAGAGCTACATAATGCTCAGATGTGCATGAGCCCTAAATTACAGTCATACCTTGGTTTTCAAACAGAATGCATTCTGGAAGTCCGTTCAACTTCCAAAATGTTCGGAAACCAATGCGCAGCTTCCGATTGGCAGCAGGAGCATCCTGCAGCCAATCAGAAGCTGCAGAAGCTGCACCAGATGTTTGGCTTCTGAGACAAAGTTTGCAAACCAGAACAGCTACTTCTGGGCTTGCAGCGTTTGAGTTCCAAGTTGTTCATAAACTAAGCTGTTCAAAAACCAAGGTATGGCTGTATATGGAAGAAAAAACTAAAACAATGAAAATCCATAACAATGCTTCCACCCCGCTCATGTGACAGGGTGTGCACCCCCTCTGAGGAACCTCCAGCACCTAATGTCAGCGTGATGGATGAGCCTGCCATGGAAGTTGAGGAAGTTGCTATAATAGACAAGGTAGATGAGCCTAAATCGTCAACTGAGTCAACATCCCCAGAGGCGGCTTCTTCAGAATTGTATGAGGCGCTCTCCTTGAAAGGCCTGCCCCACCGGATTCACATGCCTGCGCGCAGAGTGCTCTGTAGACCATCGAATTTGAGATGGGTCAAGCCGTGCTGCACACGATCATGTAGTGAGACTCTGGAGCATGTCGTCACCATCCCTTATTCAGAATGTCAGAAGCGGCATCCAGTAAGCAATCCAAACTGCAATTGTTTTCGCCAGGGAGGTGGGCAGAGATGAAATTTGTGGGGGTTTGCCTCTGGGTCGATTGAGTGTATGCAGTCGGGTCTCTCCTAAATACCAGATCTAAACCCAGATCTAGTCCTGCTTTGCCCTGAAGAGATCTGCTGCATGGATCCAGAAACTGTAGGCAGAAGTTTAGGCAAGTGGGTTTAATTCAGCACAGAATTTAGGCTGATTAACAGCAGTTAGCCAGTGCTGTAGTGGTAAATTTTGAAGAGTGGAAGAAGCCTTCATTGACATGAAGGTAGCTATGCTATCCATTATTGTTAGAAGCTTCAATTCCATTCATAGTTTCCTGGGAACTCCATTGAGCTCTGTGGAGCTTACTCCTGACTGCACAGGCTTTAACAAAGTATCTTCAGTCAGCTGAAATGCAACTTTTAGCCTTTAATTAAATATCGAAACAATCTTGCAAAGAAGCATTACTGTTTAAACTGCTGGCCTGAAGTAGAAATCTCATCAAAGAAAAGGAGATAAGTATCTAGCCTTTGCTTCATTATTTCCCTCATCCTCTGACTTTCACTGTGCTAAACTGTCACAAACTTGCAAAGTTCAACATCACCTCATTCAGTGTTCAGAGCAAGGCGAATCCGCCCATTAACCGAGTGCTCTGCCAGATGATGATAGAGCAGGAGTGAGCGGGGGCGCGCGGTGGGGGGGGGCAGAATACCAGCTCACAATCACCTCTCCTCCACTACTCTTGATAAATCAGGTTTATGAAAGTTTAGGTCACAAGCCCCGGCAAGAAATCCACTAGCTGTCTCCCTGACCTGTGAGTTTGTTCTCATTTCCAGTAAACAGATTTCTGAAATGACATTGGCAATAGGAAGCAAAATTTTTCTTGCACACACCGTCTAAGGGAGCCCCAACCGCACTTTAGACTTCCCACAATTTATTTATTCCTGCAATTTATTTAGCATGGGATAAATGGAAAGGCTTGGGTGGATTGCCTTGCTGCAAGGTGGTAACTTGATAATTAGGGCATTTTGCAGGCCAAGCAGGGGCATTTTGCAGGCCAAGCAGGGTGGAATGAACATCTTGCAAGGCCTAGGAAGTGGGTTTAAAGGTAAAGGTAAAGGTACCCCTGCCAGTTAAGTCCAGTCGCGGACGACTCTGGGGTTGCGTGCTCATCTCGCTCTATAGGCCAAGGGAGCCGGCGTTTGTCCGCAGACAGCTTCCGGGTCATGTGGCCAGCATGACTAAGCCGCTTCTGGTGAACCAGAGCAACGCATGGAAACGCTATTTACCTTCCCGCCAGAGTGGTACCTATTTACCTACTTGCACTTGATGTGCTTTTGAACTGCTAGGTGGGCAGGAGCAGGGACCGAGCAACGGGAGCTCACCCCCATCGCGGGGATTCGAACTGCCGAACTTCTGATCGGCAAGGCCTAGGCTCTGTGGTTTAGACCACAGTGCCACCCACGTCCCTAGGAAGCAGGTTTAGTCTATTTTAATTTCCAAAGTGGAACAGAAGATCCCAAGGGGCCAAAACCTCTTAAGCAGCAGTAGTAATAAATAGTAATAATAACAATAACAACACAGAAGTAATAGTAGTATTTCGGAATACTAAATTGGGAGTTCTTACATTTGAAAATCCTTGATGCATCTTGTCTTTTAAGAGCCGGGACTGACTGGAATGATTCTCATTTCAGAGGTTCTGAAGATAGAGAGAGGAGCCTGGAAGACATAGATCTATTGCGTGTTGATTCATATTCCTGCAATAAAGGGGATATTGAGCATCCTTCAAACACAAAACTTGTCTCTGGCTTGAAATAAACGTGTGTGTGAGTGTATGTGCCAATGTGCCAGAAGCAGGGAGAAGCAACGAGGAAAGGAAGCAGATGCATTTCATTTGCAAACATGAAAACTGCAGATTGACAACTTTCCCCATCTCATGGAGAAATATAGCAATACAGCTGCTACAGATCTGGTTGGAATAACAGTTGCCCATGGTTGCTCCTGGGGAGACTTCTGTATACAGAAGAAATTGCCTTTTTTAGTTCACAATAAACCTCCATCTGCTACAGAGCTTGATCCCAAAGAAGTGAAAGCAGACTCAAAACTCCAAGGGATTTGCTAATGTTCCAGGAAGGGCTGTCAATGCATTGCAAGTAGAGGAGACCTATCATTACATATTTGTAAAAAGAAGGCCTCTGATTATCTCCAGGCGTAAGACTGAAGAAGAAACCCGGGGGGGGGGATTTGAAAGGGGGAAATAGCAGCCAATATAATACATTTTGAAATCACCCTCACTGTAGTTATGATGTCACTAGAATGAATAACCGTACAGCCATGCCTTAGACCCACAAAGGAACCACAGTTCTTTGCTATATTGATAAAAGCCCTGCCATTGTTCACACTTTGAATGGCTTCTACAAGAGGTCTGTGGTGGTGGGACTATGTAGAACAGCCATATAATCAGAGGATGACACAAATGGAAGCACAACTTAGACAGAGTCTGGGCAGGCATCAGCACCCAGCTTCTTTTGGGCAGCTAGTAACACCAAAGCACCTCAGCAGGTCCCACCACTAACAGTGCTTTGAGAGCAGCAGGTGGCTGGGCTAAGCCACCATTTAAATTTCTCCCACAATGCTCCAGAGCAATGTACTATTTCAGGGGCATTGTGGGAAAATTAAAATGGTGGCTAGACCCAGAAATCTGATGTATTCTGAAGCAGTTGTCCATTACTGCCCACCAAGGCCCACCCAAAGGTGAAGCGACCTACTGCACATATTACCACACTGGCATGAAGCCATGTGAGATACTTCAGAGAGATTCAGGTAACGGGAATTTTGCTTGGATCAACAATGGCATCTCAGTGTGAAACTGGTGGAAAAGTAGAATTTGGCCCGGTATCTGAAGACTAGTATTAGTGTGACATTCTGTATGCCACCCATGTACCCCACCAACACACCAGTGTTAAGAGGAGGTGTGTAAGGAGAAAGATCTAAGACTTCTGCTATAAATCACATTCGTCTTGCAAGAGACTGGAGCGGTGTTTCCCAAACTTGGGTCTCCAGCTGTTTTTGGACTACAATTCCCATCATCCCTGACCACTGGCCCTGATAGCTAGGGATGATGGGAATCGTAGTCCAAAAAATGCCAGTGTCCCAAGTTTGGGAAACACTAAACTAGTGGCTAGTTCACCTTAGTCAACACTTCTTATTCACAGCCATAGCAAAGGACCCTACTTGTAGCAAAGTGAATTAATTTCATCCCTAGACTTCAGGAACACAACAGAAATTTTCAGTTTTCTCAGTCTTTCTGAAGAAAACTTTGTGGCCGTCGTTACTATATGACATCAAAGAAATCTTTGAAATCCCTTCTGTTCTTTTCATCTGATTCCCTGAGAAAGCAAGTTCTATCTACAAATGTATCAAGAACATAAATAAAATTCTGCTGGATCAATGTCTCATCCACATCCAGCATCCCGTTCTTACCGTGGCCCAACCAGATGCCTAAGAAAAGCATTTCTTCATTTTAAAATGTACGTGCTGCTCTTTGCCTAGCAGCTCTGAGTAATTTGGGATGTCCTCTCAGTCTTACTCTGAGTCAGATTTCACAGTCTCTTTCCACCTTTCACAATCTTCTTTCCAAACCCCACAAAATATATATCACCTCCTGCTTTATCATGCATTCCACGTACTCTGTTGGTTCTCACTCTTTTAATTAGAGAGGATGGAACTAAGTAATGAAGGTGAAAAGGAGAGGACAAAGACAATAATAGGGATGGGGACAGTGTGCCATCCCTGGATATTGTAGTCAGGAGCTGCAAATCCTCCTCAAAGAGTTATATTCTGGAGCATCAGTTAAAACACTGTACATTAATTAGAGATAAATCTACAACAGCAAACACAAGCAAATGATTAAGGATTCAACTAGGCCCTCCAGATGTTTGGGGACTACAAATCCCATCATCCCTAGCTAACAGGACCAGTGGTCAGGGATGATGGGAATTGTAGTCCCAAAACATCTGGCGGGCCGAGTTTGGGGATGCCTGTCCTAGTAGCTGTGAACACGTGTATGGTGTGGAGCAAGGGTCCCCTATCCTTTTATGCTCAGAGGAACATTGGGAAATCTAAGTAATGGTTTTGGGCACGACAAAATACACATTTCACAGAAGAAAAACCAGCAATGCTCAGATATCCTTCCCCACAAAAGAGGGAGAAAACCTAGATTTCCACCTATCGGGGGAAAGCTGGTAATCCCTTCTCAACCAAACAGCTCTCCACAAAACCAAAAAAAAAAGCCTCAATGCTTTTTTTTTAAATATAGAAAATAGGAGCATCGGGGCCTTGGAGGGTGCCAAAGTGCATCTGAGCGTGCTATGGTGCCCAGCAGTTCCATGGCTGGGGACTCCAGATGTGAAGAAACCCCTAGCTTGGAAACACAGAAGGAGCTTCTTTATACAGTCATACCTTGAGATAAATATGCTTCAGGATAAGTATTTTTGGGATGCGCTCCGCGGTGACCCAGAAGTAACAGAGCACGTTAATCCTGGGTTTCGCCGCTCGCGCATGCACAGACGGTCAAAATGACGTCACACGCATGCGCAGAAGCAGCGAACCATGACCTGTGCATGTGCAGACGCGCAGTTGCATGTTACGTTCTGTTCAGGATGTGAACGGGGCTCCAGAACGGGTCTCGTTCGCATCCCGAGGTACCACTGTATCCATTCATTCCATGGTAATGTGGGCTGATAGGAAACGCTTAATTAAGAGGATGGAGCCTATATGGTGATACCAGTGATGCTGTTGCTACAACTCAGTTTTAGGTCCCTCCAGCCCGGTATTGTCTACTTTGGCTAGCAGTTGTTTCCCAAGGCCTCAGACACAGATCTTTCCCATTGCCTGATGTTTTTAACGAGAGATGGTGGGGACTAAACCTGGGAGCAGCAATGGGGAAACTTTTTGTCCCCGTGGTCCAGATCTGCCTCTGTGGGCCAGCTGCAGGACCACCCAGCAGTCTATCATCTCATGTCACAATGATATCAGGTGACTGCCACCTGTCAAAGCTAATCTGCCTTTTGGATCTTGGCTTGTAGGACAAGCCCCCCCCCCCCCCTGTATAGTGGGGTGGATATTTTCGGTAGTAGTGGCCCAAGAAAATTTGATGCCTGAGGCAGAATGGCTAATGGTGTCCCCCACCCCCACTGACTCAAGATGCAAAATCCCAAAGGATGGCCAACTTATTTTGGCACCTAAGGAAGAAAATCCTACAAATATTCTTCCCCAGGTGAGAAGAAAATCAGTAATCATAAATAGCAAACAATCTGCTGTTTATTATCTGCTTGGTTTTGCATAATGGAAAGGCCAACCCTAAAGGATTTCTAGACCCCTGTAATATTGTGAAACATTGCATTTTTAGTACCAATATCATCTACAAAAAGCATACTTATAAGAACTAATACTGAGAATTCTAGATAACAGGGGTAGGAAAACTGTCACTCTCCTGATGATGCTTGACAAAAACTCCCATCATCCCTCACCATTGGCCATGCTGGCTAGAGCTGATGGGAGTTGCAGTCTGGGGGGGGGGGGACAGCTTCCCCAACCCTGCTGTATACCTTGTAACCCAGTCCACCAGACCACACCACCCACCCCTGCAAATCAATAGAGAAAAAAGTAACTGGATTTCTTGGTGGACTACAATAAAAAGCCAGCAGATGGCAATGATCCTTTGCAACATACAAATCTAGTATGCCAAGTAAAGATATTGCCACCTTTTGTTTAGCTTCTTTGCTTAATAATGTTTATTAGTAAGCAATTCAATACAATCTAAAACAGTTCTATAAAATGCAGTGTGCATCTGTTATTATCTGTAATTGCATATGTGCACGGTTAAAAAAAGCAAAACTGTGTACATTATGAACAGGTAGAAAACCAGATCATTCAAGTTAAAAACATCAGCAGAAACAAATAAAACAGGTCAGTCTGACAGGCCAAAAGCCTTGTTGTCAGAACTAGATCACTAGAGATTGGCTAAGTTCCCAAGCCACCAAAAAGGCCTTCTTTCTAAGTCCTCAACATATACTCTCCCAGAAGTTGGCAGGGCAGAGAAAAAAAGCCTTTCCTGGAGATCTTAAAAATTGTGCAGGCTTGTATGGAAGAAGGTGGTCCTTCAGACAGCCAGGTCCCAAGTTGTTTATTGTCACGTTGATGATGTAGTGTGGTATAGTGGTTAGAGTGTTGGATTGGGAACTGAGACACCAGAGTTAAAATCCTGCTTGGGCATGAAGCCCACTGGGAGACCTTGGACCATTCATAATCTCTTAGCCTAAGCAACCTCACAGGGTTTTTGTGAGGATAAAATTTAGAGAGGGAAAAGCATCAACACCACTTGGAACTTCTTTGAAGAATGGTGGGGTATTAATGCAATAAATAAAATAATAATAAAGTTGATGCTCAGCTCAAGGAAGCTGCTCAATGAACTTTGATGGTTAGAATGTGTTTTCTTCAATTAGCACTGATGGCTGGTGACTGATGGCTGGCATACAAGTCAGGTCTCAAGCAGGGGCTGAAAAAGCACTTGGTAGTTGCCAAAGAGCCTCAAGTCTGAGTTTTGCAGCCACCGTTCGAGAAGGAGCTGTGGGATTGTGTAACTTCACTTGTCCTGGGGAACTGATACTCCTTTACACATCTGAGTGCTCGCTAGACAACCAAGCTCAATGTGTATGTTATTCATCAATAAATGAATGGGACAAAAATGCCCCAAGTCTCCAACAACACTTTCAAAACTGCCCAGCATTTTAGGGTATTTACACATGAGAAGCTAAAGTGCTTCCTGTATAGCTGCCTTGTCCAATGTGATTGCTTGGACCAGAATGTACAATTGATTTCTCTCCTACATCAGCATCGCTCACTTGGGACAGAAATAGCATCGAAGAAGCTCAAGTGTGATTTTAAGCACCTTATGCAAAAACACCCTCAGAATAGGGCTGCCAGCTGGCAAGGAAAAAGGGAATAAACATCACAATAGCCTAGCATGCTCTTGTGTCTTAAACAGCAGCTTGATCTGCAAAAGTCAGCCAGTGAAACTTTTCACTCTGTGGAGTTTAAGCATGATCTACAGATCAAGCTGCTGTTTAGGACATAGGAGCAGAGACCAACATTCTTATACTTCAGAGCTGAGAGCAATCATTGGGCAGGAAGGGACGGACCCCTTTAACCTCGGATATATGAAAAGGATGCAGTCACAAAGACTTTGAAAGTTAAGAGTTAAATCCTAGAAAATACAGTACATATAAAACTGGTAAGCTTGAGGTTTTGCGACACCCAGACCCTAACTTTTTTATTATCTTCAGAGCCCTGCTGAGCAAAGAACTTTTCAATATCCTTAAGCAGGGCTTGCCATTGTGTGAGTTTCACAGACAAGTTGCTAAAAGTAGGCAAACCCAGCCCAACATTTCCCAACTTGGTGCCCTCCAGATGCTGATGGGAGTTGTAGTCCAAAACATCTGGAGAGTGCCAGGTTAGGGAAGAAAGCTGACCTGGTTTTCTTTTTTAGCAGAAGTCATCCCATCTCAAGCCATCCATGACTATTGCTTCCTGGAGTAAACCTTCTGTCAAATGAGAAAGAAAGTCCCTCTCTATTCTACTAGCCAGGGCGCACGTGTGTGAATTGGAGTGAGGCGTCTGTGGCCTTTCAGATGTGGCTAGTCCGGATTTTTAAAATATCCGCCCAGATTTCCACTTCAAATGCTTCAGGCTGAAATCCTCTGCGCACAGTGATTTGCAAGGGAGCCCTACTAGGGCAGAGCGATTCCTAGGATTGTTTTGCCCACATGCAGCCCGAGAGAGAGAGAGCTCCCTCCCCGAGACACTTTTCACTCTGCAAGCGTCAAACTAGCCCCTTCGCACATCTGCTCAACACCAAAGCATGGCAAGACCCCTCCGTTTTCTCCCCCGGTGAGCGCCTTCCTGGACTAAACCACCTTTCTCGGCAGGGGGAGAAAGGAGAAACGGTCTGGGTTCCCGGGAGGCAGCTGGAGGGAAAGAAGTGGCGTCTCCAGATGGGCTGAGCAGACTCCCCCCGGCAGGGCGCGGGAGGAGGGAGCTGAGCGCTTGCAAGGCGCACCGAGCCAGCTGAGCCCTCGAAGTTACCTCGGCGGTCGCCTGCGCCGTCTTGCTTCCTCACCGGGAGGAGGAAGGCTAAAGAGGCGCCCGGCCGTGGGTGCTGCTGGTGGGGGAATGGGCTTCCTGGGGGCATGCTGTTGATGTCAGGGGTGGAGTCCAGCCGGAGCCCCTGAGCAGGGCGGCGGCAGCAGGAGGCGGCGGCTATGGGACAGCGAATGGGCACGGCGCTCCTACTTGTCGCGCTGGGTGAGTACCAGCCTTCCCGGCGTAGGGGTCGTGCTTCGATTTGGAGAGGGTCCGGATCATGGAGCTCAGTAACGAGCCAAGCTGAAAGTCTTTTCTCTCCATCCCGGAGGTGCGCGCCCTCTAGTTCTAAGGGTTAGTTAGCTACCGCCTCGCATTTCTTTTGAGCCTCCTTCTGCTTTGAACATCGGTAAAAGGGGACATAAAAATCTCGGCTGTGCCCTAAGTAGGTTGCCAACTGTTTTTCCAGGCAGTGCTCCTGTGTCGTTATTAACAACAACCTTTCAAGCAAAAAATTAACACACACCCTCCTATAGAGAGGAAATGATGGGAGAAGCTTCCCCTGCTAAATGTCTGCATCTTGGGTAGTTGTTAAAGGCATGGGAGCTCAGGGCAGGGAAGTTGGCAAACTCCAGTTCTAGGCATGTTTGAATACTTGGCAGCAGCTCCAGAGGAAACATCACAATGAACAGGTCGTGTATTAGACATGTATTGCATGGCTTAGATAGCTTTGTTGGTTAGAGTGTAGTGCTGATAATGCCAAGGTTGCAAGTTCGATCCCCGTATGGGACAGCCACATATTCCTGCATTTCAGGGGGCTGGACTAGATAATCCCTGGGGTCCCTTCCACCTCTACAATTCTGTGATTCTGAACTCACTTTGTAAGGTTCTGCAAATGCAGACAACCAAATTCAGGGCAGGTCACATTTCGCCTTCCACTGTAAATATTTCTCACCTACATTTTTATGCTGCCTGATCTCCAAAGAGTTCGGGCAAAATGAATGGACTCCTTTCTGCCATGTTATCCTCACAACACCTCTGTGAGGCATGGGCATAGTTGGGGGGGGCAGGAGGGCAACTGCTTCTCCCTAAATCAAGTAAATCAATTAAAAAAAAATTAACTGAGGTTCTGTCCACCCACAACATAAAGTCTGTTCCCTAGCATAAATCCTAGCTATGCCGGAATAGGTTAGTTTCTAAGAGGCAGCCCAGATCCTCAGCTTGCATCAAGACCCCCAAGTCTAAGTACCTGCACACTATCAGCAACTTCATGCTGGCTCTCATATGATGCCTATTAAACAGATCCAAACCTTAGGGAAGGAGGATTGTTCAAAGGCATTGGCTCTGAATCTGAAATGAGGGTGCCCGAAGGAGATTCCTTGCATCATGAGCTGTTTGACAGGGGAACAAACTCAATCAGAAGGAGGTAGACTGTGCTTTTAAGCAGAGGTTGGATGGCCATGCCATAGATGCTTCAGTTGTGACTCCTGCATTGCAGAGGGTTGGACTAGATGGCCCTCGGGATCCCTTCCAACACTACCATTCTGTGATTCTATTAAGTTACATGGATCCCCTTTCCATTTGCAGGGTACCTGCTCAGGTCACTGACTGCAGAAGCCCAGTGTGAAAACATTTACCAAGATTTATCTGACTGCATCTTAAAACTAGGAGAGAATATGGCCATCTATGAGGAAGAAGAGGAGGAGGAAGATGAAAGGGACCAGATGCAAGGACTGTATGCTGTCTGCGGGTGAGCATGCATATAACACCATCCATCCATCGCTGACACATCTTGCTTCCAGATTCAGTGCTACTCTCCCCCAAATCCTGTTCTCCACTGTGAATTTTGGTGTCAAGTATTCCCCAGATATTTTCTAAATACTCCAAATATAGACCTCCTCCATAATTAAGTGGGTGACTCCATATCTACTCCACATCTAGGACAGGAAAATGAGACACGGGTGACGCTGTGGTCTAAACCACAGAGCCTAGTGCTTGCCAATCAGAAGGTCGGCGGTTCGAATCCCCATGACAGGGTGAGCTCCCATTGCTTGGTCCCTGCTCCTGCCAACCTAGCAGTTCGAAAGCATGTCAAAGTGCAAGTAGATAAATAGGTACCACTCTGGCAGGAAGGTAAACGGCGTTTCCATGTGCAGCTCTGGTTCGCCAGAAGTGGCTTAGTCATGCTGGCCACATGACCTGGAAGCTGTATGCCAGCTCCCTCAGCCAATAAAGCGAGATGAGCACCGCAACCCCAGAGTCGGTCACGACTGGACCTAATGGTCAGGGGGTCCCTTTACCTTTTATTCCCCAGATATTCTTTAAATACTCCAAACATAGACCTCTCCCATAATTAAGTGGGTGACTCCACATCTAGGACAGGAAAATGAGACTCCACACAGACAGCAGGCACATTTTCCTGCATATCCAGGGGCACCACCATAGCTCAGTTTGCTCTGCATGCAAAAAGGCCCCAGATTCAACCCCCAGCATCTCTAGGTAGGGTTGGAAAGACACATTTAAAGCCCTGGAGAGCAGCTGCTGGTCAGTGTAGACAATGCTGAGCTTGGTGGATCAATGATCTGATTTGGTATAAAGGAGATTCGTGTGTTCTTACAATGGCTTGTTTAATATACACACGGACGTCTGAGAAAAGAGCATGGGTATAACCGCTCCATCTGCTATGTGCCCGTTAGGCTGAAAGGAAGCATGTGGCATGCCTTCAGCCCAGAGAAATTGGGGTCAGGGAGCCTTGTGATTAGATGCACACATTCCAAATCTCAGTTTCCCCCTTCTAAGGTTGTTAGGATTTCTGCCCTCTTCACAGCACTCTGATGGGTAATTAATAAAGGAGGAAAAGTGCTTCCCTCTGATCCTCTTTATCCCCTCCTGGACTGCTTCAGTGGCACATGGGGCAGAGTCCCTGATAACTTTGCAACTCTTGTGGGATGCCTATAGCATAGCCCAGGGGTGGCAGCCCTCAGGAGCTATTGTACGAGAAGGAAGAATTGGTGGTCTGAGGAGATGTTGAAGGAAGAGCAGGGAGGATCATGCCTGAGGAGATTCCGAAAAGATTGAGAGAGGAATGGGGAGCATATAGAAAAGGAGGAAGGGAGAAGGAACCACAGAGAAGCCAGCTGCCATGTTCTACCCTCACGGAGGCTTGAGGCCTCCACCAGAGGCAGAGATATGCCTGAGAAACTTTCAAGAGTGCATGCAAACAGTCATTCTTTTCAAGTGGGATTTAATCACACACACTGGCAAATTCAGGTTGCACCATCAAAGCAGATTTGGAGCTCTTGGGCAACAAACCCGGTTCTCCAAAATGGAAAACTGCACCAGAAAGTGTGGGATAACACTTGCTTTGACGCTGCAGTTTCATGTACACCATACACATCTTGTTTCTTCCCTTCTTTTCCTAGCCCCATTTAATAAATCCTTGCTCTTGCCATCTCACCACACCCTGCTTTTACTAAGTTGTTCACTGCCTCCCCCCCCATTGCCTCTTTTCAGGGAAAGTGGGGCTGGGGACATCTGGCATTTCCCTCCCACCCCCGAATTTGGAAAGTGCAGAAATACAAGGATCCTATGAATAAGGATGAAACGGGACGTGGGTGGTGCTGTGGTCTAAACCACAGAGCCTAGGGCTTGCCGATCAGAAGGTTGGAGGTTCGAATCCCCGCAACGGGGTGAGCTCCCATTGCTCAGTCCCTGCTCCTGCCAACCTAGCAGTTTGAAAGCATGTCAAAGTGCAAGTAGATAAATAGGTACCGCTCCACCGGGAAGGTAAACGGTGTTTCCGTGCGCTGCTCTGGTTCGCCAGAAGTGGCTGTCATGCTGGCCACATGACCCGAAAGCTGTACGCCAGCTCCCTCGGCCAGTAAAGCAAGATGAGCGCCGCAACCCCAAAGTCGGTCACGACTGGACCTAATGGTCAGGGGTCCCTTTAGCTTTATGAATAAGTTGCCTACTGAGAAAGTTTCTGCTCATCAAGATGGCTTATAAATATTCTAAAAATAAGATATAAATATAATTACCTTGGGGAGGGGTGTAGCATTGTGGTGTCAGAGGTGACATGGAGGCCGGAGAGATTTTACTCTTATTCCTCTGAGCTGTTTGTTTATTTATGAGCATCATGAAATTAGGCCCCACTTCTTTCCTTCAGAGGTGATATTAGCTGCAGGGGGCACAGATAGATAGATACTCATGTGTGAAGCTACAGGGAACCAGGCCTTATTGGTAGTGGCACCAACCCTGTGGAATGCCCCCCCATCAGATGTTAAGGAGATGAGTAATTATATAGCATTTATACCTGTATAGGAAATTATATAGCATTTATATAGGAAACATCTGAAGGCAGCCCTGTACAAGGAAGCTTTTAAAAGTTTAATGTTTCATTATGTTTTTATATATGCTGGAAACCACCCAGTCAGATGGGTGGGGTACAAATAATAAATTATTATTAATTATATTTTATCCCTCTGCAGGGAGACCAGGGGAGAGGGAGATTTAAGTTGGGATAATGACATTGGCAGAAGAAGGAATCTAGGTTGTCCCTCAGTTGCTTATCAGGATAATAGGAACTAAGAGCATCTGTTCTTTTCCACTTAGAACAATTCTATTTTTTTATCATTGCCATTGTTTTATCTGTTTTTATAATTGTATTTTCTATAGTTGTAACCCACATTGGGGCCTTACGGTGACGGGTGGGTCAGAGAGCTTGCAAGCAAATAAATAAAACATGTGGTAATAATTATGGATAGTAATAATCAATGAAATGCACTGATTCGGGGCAGAGGCCTAAAAAAGACAGAAGTCAGTCTTGAATCCATTTGGCCTTTCCAAGGAGGGGCAGCTTCAAAGTGAGAAGCTTGAGGTTAAGGTGGATATGCAGCCATTTGTTTACTTGTAATCAAATCAGGATAGATGGGAAGGCAATCAGGTACCAAAGCACCAAGCCCCTCAGCCCGGAGCAGGTCTGGGCCTGATTAAAAGCGAGCAAGGGAGATGGAAGAGATAAAAAGTTTGCTGAGATAAATGGGTGCCATTGTCCAGGAATGCAATCAAGGAAGAGGCGAAGCTCTGGGAAGGCATAAAACCAGCTAGCCCCGCAAGAGAAAAGATGCTGAGATTAGAAAGGGAGAAAAAGCAATAAATAAGAATAGGGGACCAGCAAAAGGAGAAGCCAGATTAGGGAGAGGGCAAAGAGGGTTGTAGGGTTGGGCAGGAGGTTAATGAAGGAGACAAGAAAGCCTTGGAGGAGGAAAGATGAAGGGAAGATGACCTCTAAGGCAGTGTTTCCCAACCTTTTTTGGGCAAAGGCACACTTGTTTCATGAAAAAAATCTCGAGGCACACCACCATGCCAGATGGGGAAAGGTCACTTTTACTTATGTAAAAAAAAATAAAAAAATAGTAACAGCATAGAAGGTAATGGTTAGGCTAGCATCCCTCTTTCCAAATATGCTAGGTTTTTATTTGCAGGGACTGTTCTACATGGGAAAGCATTCAGCACTGTCATTCTCCCATCTGCCATCTGAATTGGTACTATTCTGCGTCAACTTACTCTGCTGCATGTGTAGATGAAAATGGCACCAAGTGTGGGGGAGGGGGCAGAACAGGTTTCAGATACATAGACAGAAGCTGGCTCTAAGATCTGCCTGCCATTGCACTCTGAGGTGTGAATCCTATGGAACGAAGCAAACCCACTTATATTCTTACATACGGTCCTTTTAATGCACAAGGTAACAAAATATGTTAACTTGCTCCAGCAGTTTTATGTTTGTAACATACTGAAAAGACTGTCGAAGTCTCGTGCTCACCCAGCCTTCGCCAGCCCTGCGCCCTCCGGATGTTTCGGGCTACCAGCCACGCTCCCCTCAGTCTCAACCTAATATCCCCAAGTGTTTCATATTTACTAGGAAATAACTCCCGCTGGTACAACGGAACTTCCTCCCAAGCAAGTCCATCTCTCGGTTTACATCCACGAGCTCGGGGCTGCGGCGTCCAGGAGGCGACAGCCCCGCCCAATGGCCCGAGGGGACCCCGGAAGGGAGGCTTCGGCGCGGCGGCGGCCCCTGCGCGTTTCGCCTCAGGCTCCGCGGGGGCGGCAGCGACAGGCTGCGCGGCTCCTCCTCGGGTCGCTAGGCGGAGCCAGAGCAGCGCTGGAGGGCAGCGGAAAGGGCGGGTCCGTCGCTATAGAGACGCCCGCTTGGGTGGCGCTCGAGGTGGCTCCGCCTGGCCCGCGAGTCCTGCGAAGCGCTCTTCCCCGGGGCCTGTGGCGCAGGCGCAGAGCGGCGTGGCGGAGGGCCGCTTCCCTCCCCCGCCCGGAGCGGCATTTAAAGGGGAAGTGGCCCCTTCCCGCGGCCGGCCTCCTCCGTCGTCGGCGCCCGGCTCTCCTATGGCCTGGCCCGGGGCGCGGAGAGTGGCAGTCGGGGCCGGGGGGCCATGGCTGCTCCCGGGGCGTCGCGCTTCCTCTATGAGCTGCCCACCGCCCCGCCTCTCGCCGCCCGACTCGCCCGACTCCCTCCAGGCAACATCTCGCGGCACACCAGGCAACGTCTGGCGGCACACTAGTGTGCCGCGGAACACCGGTTGGGAAACACTGCTCTAAGGGGCATTGTGCCTGAATTGGAGTTTGAGCCGTGGGAATTTGTTGTTGTTGTTTAGTTGTTTAGTCTGTGCTGCACCTCATTCCAAAGGAAACACAAACCCTGGGTGAATGCCTGGAACCTCGAACTGCTCAGAGATTGGGGTAGCGTGCAATATTATTACAATGACTATTCCCAAAAGACGCCTGCTTCTTGGGAGAAAAGCAATGACAAACCTAGACAGCATCTTAAAAAGCAGAGACATCACCTTACCAACAAAGGTCCGTATAGTTAAAGCCATGGTTTTCCCAGTAGTGATGTATGGAAGTGAGAGCTGGACCATAAAGAAGGCTGATCGCCGAAGAATTGATGCTTTTGAATTATGGTGCTGGAGGAGACTCTTGAGAGTCCCATGGACTGCAAGAAGATCAAACGCATCCATTCTTAAGGAAATCAGACCTGAGTGCTCACTGGAAGGACAGATCGTGAAGTTGAGGCTCCAATACTTTGGCCACCTCATGAGAAGAGAAGACTCCCTGGAAAAGACCCTGATGTTGGGAAAGATGGAGGGCACTAGGAGAAGGGGACGACAGAGGATGAGATGGTTGGATAGTGTTCTCGAAGCTACAAACATGAGCCTGACCAAACTGCGGGAGGCAGTGGAAGACAGGAGTGCCTGGCGTGCTCTGGTCCATGGGGTCACGAAGAGTCGGACACGACTAAACGACTAAACAACAACAACAACAACATTCAGCACCTAGAAAACCACAACTTTTATTGAAATTTCTAGCCCTTAAAAGATTATGAAGTTGGGTCTGAGAATGTGTCCACCACAAAGGATGAAATATCAGAAACTATGGGGAAGGCACATTTTACTGGGTCAGAAACCAGGGCTTCAGCACTCTTCCTATCCGTATCTTTGCCTCTTCTCATGAATTGGAGAAGCAGAATTAATGAAGCAAACTATATGAGCATATGCAAGCCTTAATTAACCTCCTTTATACAGACCATTGGATTCACATTTTGTTGATGTGGAGTTAGGCTTTCTTGTTTTGTTTTGCTTTAATGCAGAATACACACAACCTATCATTGTGCTGCAAGGCCCAATGTCATCCTGGATATGCCCTGCCATTCTTTCCTGCTTTAATGGAATTAAAACAATACTGTCTTCCCATGATGTTCCTGTTCCATGTTTCTCTCCCTCTGCTAGTGAGAAAAGGCTGGTCAGTGACAGATATGGAGATCATAACAACTGATGCCTCAGAAAGCAGCCTGCTATGAAATTGATTGTATTTGTTGTTTGGTTTTAGTTGTGCAACATTCCCCCAGAGTCCAACGCTGACAGGTCATGTGATGATGGCCTGTGTTTGTGAACAGATGGAGGCTGCAAAAAGTGAGGCATGCTGGGAATTGTGATTACCCAACTGAGATGGGGAAGGGTGGGGGAGAAAGAGTGAAGAGAAACAAATACACACAAAAAATGTCCTTCAAAGTAGACACTTCAGTTTTCATGCCTCGCTCTTCCTGTCTTCGTTGAAGTCAGATAATTTTAAGCTGCTAACTCACTAAATTTCTCCTTTGCCCCCTGCAATTATGCTGTTGCAGGTTGCAGAGGCAAGGCTTGTTATAAGGCAAAATGAGTTTACCTTGTTTGGCAGTAGCTTCTCTCATTATTATCTCAGGACATTTATTCTGCCACAATAGTTCTATTTAATGAGCTCTTTACAGCTGGCAGTCAGATAAGTGTTCTCTGAGATTTTATGCACACAGACACACACACACCAGCCTTGTTTCATGATTGTGTAAGGATGCCTTGGACAAAAGATGCTTTTCGTATAACCAGGGTCCGTTTTGGGCAAAATGTTCCACTTATGTGAGAAAGACTGGTGGGTTTTTGGTGGGTGTGTTCGGCAACATGTCATTAATGCAATAGTTGTGCATTAGTGATGGATTTATAGTGGACCATCCACACATTCAGCTTTATTAGATGTTGAGTGACACTTCCCCAATGTTGCCACCTTATTGCTGACTGGGGAGGCACTCTTGTGCAATAACACAACGAAAGTGGAGCAAATACCTTTGCACATTTGTGGTTACAGGATAAAGTTACAGGATTCCAGCTGGACACTACAGGACATGCACCAATTGCAAATAAAGCAGAATGTCCACTGAGAAACGATTGCTGGGGAAACTCAGCCAGATGAGTGGGGTATAAATAAATCATCATCATTGCAGGCACAAATAGCACTGAAAGTGGGATCACATATAACCTCACTGATACAATCATGGGCACAAATAATGATGAATGCACAATAAAAAGGACATCTGAAGGGACCCATTGTAACATTACAATCAAACATTTCCAGAAGGAAAATGTTTCAGCAAGGCCAGAAAAAAAGATACAATTCACTTTCACAGTGCAGCTATTAAAGTAACAGCCTAGCAAGGGAGTACAGTCGGGACTCTGTCCTATGTCCCGCTTCCGCCCCCTTTTAAAAATCCATTACTGTATAGCTCAAGCTATTTAGTCTGGAATCCATGTATTCACTGGAAGAACTGAAATTGGTTAACCAACAATTTAGTGTGCACCGTTTTGAGCGCTTGTGGTGGGTGGGGCCAGAGGCAAAAGTGGGTGGAGAAACTGATGTAAATTTTACATGGTAGGCTAGTTTGTGCACTTACACACCCCTCTCCATCCAACAGGAGGCATTATCAGCATTCAAAGACACATTCCAGCCAGGCAAAAACACTCAAGGATGGTATGGAGAGGGTGGCTGGAGAGGAGATGAGGCCTGGAGAGAGGTTTGTAGGACCTTATTCATTACCACGGCCTGAAGGTCTCCACACTTGAGCTAGATCAACCTTCTCAGGGTATCCTATCCTGCTTAGGCATCCTGAAATTTGGTTCTTTCAACATCCATCCTAATGTTCCTCATGTAAGCTGCATTCGTATGCCCAAAAGCAAAATGTTAGGTATCCTAGGAGTTATTCAGGAAGGACTGCCTATAGAAGAACTTGTTCCTATGGGGATAAATTTGGCACAGGGATCATGAATTCATATTGGTAGTGAGTATATCACAGAAGTGCTGCTAGACTTGGATTGTCCCTTTTTTCTTCCTCTAAGGTGGACAGACTCACATTGAGAAGGCTGGAACAGTGCCTACTCTGGTCATAACCAACCAACCAACCAACCAACCAACCAACCAACCAACCAACCAAACCATTCAGGGTTTTTGTCAGGGGTGGACAACCTCTTTGAGCCAGTGAACATTTGAGTGCCATGGGTGCCAGTCACAAAATGGCTGGCATTGGGGTGTGGCTTTACACAAAATGGCTGCTGTAGGGAGCATTAGAGAGGCCAAGCCAAAGCAAACAGGAGTTGAGCAGAAAGAGCAAGAAGCCTTTTGCGGATTGTGGATTTTTGAGGGGATTTTTACTGAAACATTTCATGGGTCCCTTAAGAGCTACTTGTGAGCACCCTCAGGCACTGCATTGATGATCGCTGCTATATGTTCTACTTTACAGATAAGTGATTTCTAACTGTGACTTCTTTGTTTTATGAAAAGAAACTAAGTCTTCTCTTTCTCCTGCTGCAGATATTGGGAAGAGTTTCACACCTGTGCGGTGGCTGCCCTTTGGGAGTGCCAGAGGGAGGCAGCAACTATCTGGGAGATGTTGAAAAAGGAATCTAGGAAAATCAAATTCCAAGGCAGCCTTTTTGACCTCTGCGCCTCCAGCAACTCCCAGAATTTCAGCTCCTTGCAGATTCCATCTCTTTCGCTGTTAAGCATCACTTTGATGGTCACATGGCTTAATTTATAAAGGGAACCACTCTGCACATATGTACATATATTTATTTCCAGATCTTTGATAAATACTGTTAGGGGTTTTGTGTTTGTTTAGTGAATGCTTGGTTACATTATAAATATGGAGGGAAATTCACTGCATTTTCCAGTGATCTGGGTTGTCAAGAACAAGTCTGGCAAGTGTTCCAGTGTGACTTTGCCCACGAGAAGTTGCTTGTGAATCTCAGCTTTAAACCACTGAACTTGGAGGAAATGGCAGCACAAGCAAAGGGGCACCTGCTTTCCTTATTTTGGTCTGGTGTTTTGGATGTTCTTTGATAAAACTACCAATCAAACTATTATGTCGATCTCTTCCCACACCTACACAACCATTCCTAAGGACAGTATCCTGGACAACCTCCTAGAACAGTAAATATTAGGGAACTAAAAAGGGCAGTTTGAGCTCTTAGAAACCATCAGGAACAGATTTTCCCAGAGAAACAAATTCTAATGGTTGCGTTCCATCTCTGGAACAATCCCCAACATCTCTACTGACACTCTGCCGTTTTAATATGCTAATCAGGTTACACACCTGTTTGATTTATCAAGGTGTTTTTTGGACAAATGATTGCACAAGAATGGTAAGATAAATGGTACTATATTATGTTGGATTGTGGTTTCAGGTGCTGATCAAGAGCTCTAACCTAAAGCTGGTGGATAGAACCTCAGGGCTACATATGAATATATGGATCAGGCCAAGGGCCTTCTAGCATCTTGTTCTTACACTGGCCAGCCAGTTGCCTGTGGGAAGCCAACAAACAGGACCTGAGGGGCAAAGAAGGAACTCATGCTGGCTTTGCACACATTTACAAGGGATCAATGTAAACTGTCAATCCTCCTCCCGAAAACCACTTTTTCTTCATTTCCCAAGATGTGATGCAAGAAAAGAGTAAGTGCTGTCAGCACTTCTGAAACTGAGGGATATGTTTGAACATGTTTGAGGTTGAGAATGATCTCCTGTAATTTGGCAGTATTCCAGCCCTGTTAGCAGAGTAGTTGTGTGTACCATACCTGTTGCTCTAAGACCCTTTTGAGTTCCTCCACCTCTCTAGCGGAGTGTAAACCAGCAGTGGAAAGCCTCAAGCGTATGAGCCTAATTAGGCCTGCCGAGCCTTCTTGTCTTCCCTTCCAGATGCAGCTTGAATGGCAAGGTTTCAAAGGAAGATTGGCGTTCAAGCCTTTGAAACATTGACTTCAAGCCCCGTCTGCAAAAGTGCTCCTGATTCTTCCTTTGAAGTGGATTCATCTGACATCATCTGACATCAAGCCCCCTGCTCATGTGGCAAAGTGTTCCACAGTGTGTGTATGAGTTTTGAATCTAGCCTGCTGGCCAGATCCAAGCCCCACCACTGGTGCTAACCATGCTGGCCAACCCGCCAGCCTCCAGCCCAATTGCTTGTAGCCCCTTCCACACTCCATCTATCAATCTGTAATGAACATATGAGTCAGACTATTTCCCCATTTGGCCCAGTTTGGTCTACTCTTGACTGGCAGTGGCTCTCTAGGTTCTCCAGAAATTTCTCACCACCTGCTACCAGGACCCTTTAAGTAGAGACAGCATGGGTTGACCTAAAACCTTTGGCATGTAAAGCACCTGCCCTGCTCTTAACCCAAGGGTTTTCCTCATTTCTGCCTGCCAATTTGGCATAGCTATTACAGGCATATAGGGACGCAGGTGGCGCTGTGGGTTAAAGCCTCAGCACCTAGGACTTGCCGATCGAAAGGTCGGCGGTTCGAATCCCTGCGGCGGGGTGCGCTCCTGTCGTTCGGTCCCAGCGCCTGCCAACCTAGCAGTTCGAAAGCACCTTCGGGTGCAAGTAGATAAATAGGGACCGCTTACTAGCGGGAAGGTAAACGGTGTTCCGTGTGCTGCCCTGGCTTGCCAGAGCAGTGATGTCACGCTGGCCACGTGACCCGGAAGTGTCTGCGGACAGCACTGGCTCCCGGCCTATAGAGTGAGATGAGCGCACAACCCTAGAGTCTGGCAAGACTGGCCCGTACGGGCAGGGGTACCTTTACCTTTTTATTACAGGCATAGGAGGAAGGCTAGAATGTGGGTGGGGATTGGTGACAGTCTCATACTGAGCATCCTGCCCAGCTACAAAGTGCCGATGGCCACTGCCAGCTGAGGACTAGTGAAAGATGGTGAGAGCAGCCATGTTTGTTTATTCACGCACCTTCTCATCCATGTCTAAAGCAGCATCTACAGGAAACCTGGTTTTAATCACAAAAGGCACATCCAAGTCGGGGGAGCAGAACCCTCTCCTATTTTTCCTCCCTGCATGGTATTGACCCCAATGCTTTTCTCCCCAGCCCAGCTCACTCACTGTGTCAGAGCTAGGCTAGGAGAAAAGTGCTTAAGAACATAGGAGACCCACTGGATCAGACCCAAGGCTTCTCTAGTCCAGAAATCCTGTTCTTACAGTGGCCAACCAGATGCCTATGGGAAGCCCCAAAGCAAGACCAGGGCACACGCTGACTTGTGACTCCGAGCAACTGCTACTCAGAGGCATAGCATTTGTGACGCTGGAGGTAGTACATAGCCATCATGGTTTGTAGCCATTGGTAAGCTTTAGCCTCCATAAATTTGTCTAACAAGTTGGTGGCCATCACTAGATCTTGTACTTGCTTCAAGAATGCAGTGGAGGAAGGAAGGAGAGAGGGTGAGTTCCACTCCCCTCAATCAAGCATAGCTTTTGTTGTGAAAAGCTGATAGCTTGCACACAAACTTTAGACATCGTGGGCTAGAGACATGTGAATGAAGAAACATGGCTTCTCTGTTGCGCTTGGCTTTAAAAGAGCAGAAACAGGAGGACACCCTGGTTCCATCCATCTAAGCCTATTCTCCAGAGACTTTTTTGGGGGGTACTTCTGGAATATGACACTGCTTAGCATTGTATTTCTACAATATTATCTCTTGCTCTTAAAAATCCTGCTGTGGCCATTTACACTGTCAAATGCCCCGTCCCACTTTCCCTAGAAATCAAAGCTCAAATCACTCGGCTGGGCAAGGCTACTCCCTGTCTCTGATCCCCCCTCCCCCTGGACAAAATTTAGCTCGAGTTCACTGATGGATGATGCACTAGAAGCAGCTGTTGCAGAAACGCTCTCTGGGAGCAACCCCTCAAGTGCCTACATCAGACCAAGTTCATTAAGAAAAGGAAGCCATCTGCCGTTTATTTGCTCTGTGGCAGGGCAGAGGATAACTGCTCTCACTTTCTTATGCACACAAACACATAGGAAACTGGGCTTCACAGGATCAAGATGACAGAAAACAGATTCGCAGAACAATCCTATATATGTCTAGTCAGAAGTAAGCTTCAGAACTCAAAATCATTTAGGAACGGGCTGGCACCCAGGTTTGTTCTGCATGAAGCAGCAACAAATATAACAAGGATAAATTAACTCTCCTATATGTACACGACATAGAAATGGAAGTATTTTCCTTCCTGATTATAGAACCATAGAATTGCAGAGTTGGGACCCTTAGGGTCATTCAGTCGAACCCCCTGCGATGCAGGAATCTCAACGAAAGCATCCATGACAGAAGACTATCTATTTTTGCCCACAATCTGAGCACCTACATGGTTTCTTTTTCACTTGTGTTCTTTCTCTGAAAACATTCCTGCATGCCCCCATTTCCATCCCTGGAGGCTTCCCTACTGGCTCTGAGGAACATTTCCTTGAGTGACACGGCAGGAAACATTCTGTTTGGTTCTTCCAAGGAACATCTCACAAAGTTCCAGTCTGATTTTGATCTTTCTCTTGACATTTCTCCCCACCATTTGCTGGCAAGGCAGAATCTGCATGCTCTTCAGGAAGAACAAATTGGAGACTGTTCAGCAGTGTGGGAAGGTATTATATGCGTGCTGAGAGAAGTACTTTATGCATGTCTTTCTTTTTGAAAGTGTGGCAGAAACATGACATGGCAGGGGTGTCCAAAGGAGAAATGAAGGTAGGAGACCAAAAATAACTGCAATCATGTTTTTCTGCTTACGCCACTGCTTACCCACAGTAACAGAGTTAATGATAACCAAATGGAAACTATAGTCTGATTCTCTCTCACTCAAATGCACACATATTTCATTTCCCCAAAAGAACAAGTTTCTAGCCCTCCTGGTTGCAAAGATATGCTTGAGCATGTATATGGTCAAAATGCATGCTGCAGTATCCAAAAGTCAGAGGACTGGTTCAATATGATTGTTAGTGACTTGGGAGCAGCGTGTCTACCACTGTCTATAATCCCTTGCCCCTTTTCCTGACATGCAAAACTAAACAAATTATGCAAAATGCTTAAAATGGCAGAATTATACAAAATATTATCTGTATTTGCTGTTTACAGACATTGCAGAATCCAGCTTTCTGTGGTGTTGAATTCTGTAACTAAAAAGGCACACAGCCCTGCATACAAGTTCCAATTAGCACTTGAAGCAGATTTCAGGTTAAATGGCTGGGTATGACATTTCGAAAATGAGAGCTTCCATAGGCTTTGGAGTCCCAGCATGCATCTGTGCATTCTGCATAATGCCTAGTCCAGCTCAACTGGCCTGCAATGTTTTAGATCTGTATTAAAAGCGGGGCTTTTCCTTCTCTCCCCTGCTTTGAGTGTGTTGACCTTTCAGCCAAAGAAACAGCAGGAGCAGGAAATGCTTCTGGCCGGGGCCCTAGAGAGCCACTACCTGGCAATACCATAGTAGCTGGATTCCGTATAAGCAGTAGCAACTGATGTGATAGCACAGAACTGCCCTTCCTAGCCTGCTGCTGCTGTTGCTGCCGCTTACCCTAGCAGGGGTGGGACAGGACAGTGGAGCCAATCCTGCACTCCCACCAGTCCATCCACGTACAGTCCTAACCTTGCCAAGACCCTGTGGTGCCCTGCCCCATCCAAGTAAGCTGCAGTGATGTCAGGAGGGTGGCTCTGGAGGTCTGCCCCACTGCATTAAAGCGCTGCCAGAGAAATGCTAGACTGCAGCTTTTCCTATCACATAATAGCAGGCTCTAAAAAGCAAACAATGCCATCTAGTGGCAAAGTGGCGATATGCAACTGTTATTGAACACAGTGTGTAGCAGGGAAAGTAAATGTGTGGAGCTCTGGATGTGGTTAGACTGCAACTCCCATCAGCTCCAGTTGAGTATTATGGGAAATGGACTTCAGAAACATGAAGAGGACACGTTAGCCAGCCCTCATGTACAGCATGTTCGTGACCTAACACTGAATTGTAAACCACGTTGCTGTATTTTTAATGAAAAGTGCAGTCTATAAATATTTCAATAAATAAATAAATAAATAAATAAA